ATAATAAAATAATAATTAAGAAATCAATCGGAAAATCAAACTATATTAAACAGTTTGTTTTTTAACGAAATGATATTGTTTATTTTAAATAATTGTTAATATACATCTAAGGAATATATTTCTTTTTGTTTTATTCGCTTTAGAAATTTTTTCTGGGAATATTTCGCTTTTCAGACTACAAAATATGTTTTGTTTCGTTAGTTTCGTTTTAAATTTTCTTTTCATTATTGTTGCAACGTTGTCAGATTTTAATTTTGTGGATTTTATCATTACTTTTTCTCCTGCATATTGCACGCAACTCATATAATTTTCTAAATAAAGCAAGTTTTTAGCAATTTTTCAAAAATTTTAATTTTTTTCTCAATGTAAGTAAGGCCAAACGCCTTTATTTTTTACTGGCAATTTTCTTCATACAGGGTGTCCGGAAAGTCGCGCACCTCCTTGAAAGGGAGTAATTGGGTAGTCTCCCAAAGTACTAAAAAAATGTTTAAAAAATTTTGACATTTATTTTTTGACATTTGACATTTTTTTTTATGTCTGCTTAATGATACTGATGATTTTATATAGGTTTTTTTATAATTATTTAATAAAGGTAGAAAAATTTTGTCAATAAAAGCCACAAATAAGATTAAACAGAGTTACAATTTATGATATAGCTTCTTTGTTTCCTCTTCTAATAGCCTGTAGCAAAAAAACTTGGAAAATTATTTTTCCAACAGAAATAAATAAAGTCAAAATGCAAAATTTAAACTCTCATAACTTTAAAATTTTTTGGCTAGATTTTTTTTAACATTTTTCTTGTTGTCTAGGGCACCGCCTGATGACATAATGTCTCGGAGGTGCGCGTCTTTCCGGACATGCTGTATATAAAAAAAAACAATTTAACAAAATTTATTAACTAAAAAAAATAACCAACTAAAAACGTCTCTAAACAGCATATAACAACATTTATGTCAAACATTATTTTGTACTTGTTTTTTTTTTCAATAAAATTGCTTCTTATAAAACCCAGCTTTTTAATTTTATAATTCAATATTGAAAAAATGAGTATTAAACAATTATTTATTTTTTTGGCTTAAAAATAACTAAAAATGCTAAAAATTGCAATAAAATCGCAAGAAAATTATTTCTTTGGCTTGATCTATTTTAAAGCATTTCCCTAAATGAGCTATTTCAGTTGATCTTGTTCAGTTTGCTTAATTTTTTAGAGAGAAATGCCTTCATTTAAGTGATTTTCATAAAAATTTCAGTTAAGTTTCTGTTTGCTTTAAAACGAAATCACGTAACATCCGGTTTTGAATGGAACAAAACCGAATGAATGGTCTTTTGTCAAATCACGCAAGCCCCATCTCGCCCAGAAAAAACTTCAATCAACTTAAAAACCGTCCAGAAATCTCGAATTACCGCCACTTCCGTCCGAATAATTTAACCAAGCCCTTGAGAAAAACCACTGGAAACCAGCCACGGTTATGTGTCATTCAATTAAGTACCTATTTAATTCTTTAAGTAGAGCGATTTAGCCACAATCATTTAAAAACGACCAATTTTATAATAAAATTATTAAGAGCATGCAAATGACTTGAGTGACATCCTATTTGTTCTGAAAATTTCTTATTAAAACTTACACCAACTGGCCGGTGTCCTTCCGCAGACTTTTTTCGTTTCGGGATCGTAGAGAAACCTCTTGACTTTGTCTTTTTTGCTCAGTTTCAAATCCTCGATTTTGACAAAGTACTGAGTCTGGATGTTGAGCAACTCGTCCTGCTTGCTGAGGGACCTTGATGGGGGTTTTTTCAAACTGTTAGAGGACGGCATCTTCGTAGTGGTGATACTAACAGAGGCGGACTGCGACTGGTCGAGGGCACTCCGAGACGGACTGTAGGAGGGCCCGGATATTAGCGATTTTAAACGTGAATAAACACATCCTCGTCAGAAGTTCCAAACAGTAACGAGCGCAAAGTGTGGGTCAGAATTCTATGATAAAGACTCTACCAACTGTGAAGCTTACAAAACGTTATAAACAATGTTGCTATTTTGTTGTTTTATTTATTAATTTATAAACACATTTTAAATAAACATTGAGTTGTTTTATTTATTTGTGGATATGTTTTGTTTTGTGGTAATCCCCGAAAATTAATTAGTATGCTGCAACCAACAATTCTAGTTTTAATATCTATTTTGTAGTTACAAAAAGTTCTTAACACATTAAATGTTTTTTTGTATGTTTATTTATTACGTGAATTATGTACAAACATTGAATTGCTCATTGTATTTTTAATTTTTGTAGTTTTTTAAGTTCTTTTTGTTTTATAATAAGACCCTGGAACGCTGCAACCAACAATTCACGTTTTAATAGTGACTATAATTCCAAAGTGTATGTTTCTAACTTTTAAGACATAAATGCTTTTTCTGCTTGTTTTTGAAACAATTATTGTGTGAATTATGTTTGTGTTCCAAAACTTTTTATTGCATTTTTCGTTTAGTGCAGTTTTCTCCCGCCAGAGGTCCCAGCCGAAATGTCAAACGTCCACCGTTTTTGATCCTAGCAAGCCGTGCACTCGTTGACATTGTGCTTTTATCAACACCCTAATCAGTGTTATTGTCTCTTAATACTCGTTAATAAGTGAGTGAAATCCCCCAAATCATGGGAATCACAAAAGGAGTCCTCTTTTTGTCTCTTCTGTGTGTTGCACTCGGAGGTAAGTGACAAAAATAGCGATCATGTTGGCCGCCAAACAACGTTTCCGTTTTGTATTTGAGGCCTCACAGTGATAAGAGGAAAGTACAAGTCATGGCTTTAGGTAAATTGGGGTTGTGGTAGTGCGGAGGCGACCTTGGGGTGGAATGTTCTAGCAGGTTTTGGGGCTTCCGGGTTTTTCGAAGTTGGGGGTTGGTATAATTGGAAACAAAAGAATGGGCGATGATGTGATTATTATAATAATAATTTTGTCGAATGTTAAATGGAGGTCAGTGTGGTCGAGGATGAGGTTTTTATTCTGATTAGCATGAATCATTTCATGCGACGAAATGTGAGGTATCATTATTAAACTTCAGGGAAGTCCCCGTTTTCAGCTTTATTTCATATCCCGGAGATAAATTTTATACTTTTTTTGATAAATAAATAAATTAAACATGTTGCGTAATACGCCCACTGAAGCGTAAATAACAAAAAATTGCTAATTTTCAAACCATATTGTTATAATAGTGTGTAAATAAAATCATACGTGGGTATTGTTTGATCTAACTAGATTTTTGGTAACATTCACTATCGTGGTTTGGTGTGATTTTTTTAATTTAATTTTTCTAAAAATCACCAAATTGGAACGAAAAGTACGTTATTTTGGCCTTTTTCGGAACGTTTTAGTACCTTTTTTTACCAAATTAAGCCAATTTTGGTGTTATTTTTGTTAGTTTCATTCGATTTAACTAATTTTGAGTGAAATTTTACAAAAGGTGAGTCTAAAAACTCAAAATTTGGTCAAAAATGGTGTTACTTAACCTTTTTTGAAGTCTATAAGTTCGTTTTCGAACTAAAACACCAACACCATGTCTTTTTTTGTTTGTTTTTTTTAAGTGTTTAGCATGTTTTTCAGGTAAAAACGTAAATATTCCACAAAATTTTGTTAAGATAAGCCAAAAAATTACTGAATTGGACCACAAATATACAGGTGGTATGCCAGAACTCGCGCCACAGAGAAAAATTTTAAGTAAGATAAAATACTAGGAACATGGAAAAAAATTTAACAAATTCTATCTGTCAAAAAATTTCGACATTTATATTTTGACATTTGACATTTTTTATGTCTGTTTAATGATACTGATGATCTTGTATATGTTTTCTTACAATTATTTAGTAAAGGTACAAACATTTTGCTAATAAAAGCCACAAATAATATTGAACAGAGTTACAATTTAGGATACAGCTTCCTTGTTTCCTCTTTTAATAGCCTATAGCAAAAAATTTCTAAAATTATTTTTCGAACAGAAATAAATAGAGTCAAAGTGCAAAATTTAAACCCTCATAACTTTGAAATTTTTATAGATAAAATTTTTTTAACATTTTTTCCATGTTCCTGGTATCTTACCTTATAATGGCATTTTTCTCTGGGGCGTGAGTTCTGGCGCACCCTGTAGTGTTATTTTTGCTTTTTTTGGACGTTTTTGGGCAGATTTGCGTAAAAAAACGTAAATCTTTGATAGTTTTAGAAAAATTTAAATCATAATCTTGTAATCTGGTGAAAATAGGTAACTTTGTCAGCTCGGATTTGGTGAATTTTATTTTTTTTTGAGCTGGCAACACAGTTTGCATAAATTTCTTGATTCTTAAATTCTTAGTTTGTTTGAAATTTCCTCAGGAAGGGTTTTTTCGCTTTTTTATCTGTTTTTATTTAATTGTTAGGTTATGCTAATATGTATTTAATTTGTGATAAGTGATAACAGCCGCCCGGATACCAAGATAAGAGTTCAAGTTTAATAGTCCCCAGACAGGAAATGTTTATTAATATTTAGAACTAAATGTCTGTGACTTGATTTGGTATGTAATAATTTTGCTATAAAACATTTTATTTCCAGATAATGGCATTATTCCTGGCACTCGAGTAAGTTCATCCCCAAACGTTCCTATAACTTCAGAGACACCAAGGAATAGCACCACTTTACCACCAATAACCATCACCGTGACACCAACCACTTCGACAACCACAACCCAAAAACCAACCACTTCTACAACCACAACCCAAAAACCAACCACTTCTACAACCACAACCCAAAAACCAACCACTTCTACAACCACAACCCAAAAACCAACCACTTCCACAACCACAACCCAAAAACCGACCCCAACCCCCGTCAATCCTGTTGGAAAATGGACAGTCAACTACACCAACACCGACAAAATCTGTCTAGTCCTGGAAGCCGCCCTCGAAATCGATCTCCACTACAAAGTGAACAATTCGAGTAAAACTTTCCCGATTAAAATCACATCAGCGGCGACATCGCAAGGGGCGTGTGGAAAAACCATAGAAAATATTACTTTGGTTTTTGGACCGGCTAACACGATTAACTTTAGTTTCAAGAAGAGCAATGATAGTAAAAAGTATGATCTTCAATCGGTTATTGTCATGTTAAATGTCACAGTTCCGGGATTGAATGGTAAAAAAAATGATAAAGGAACTATGAATTTGTTACAATAAAGGTTTTTTTAGGTACCCAAATCTATGCTTTGGCTCATGCCAAAGATGAGTTCTCGACACCTGTTAGTAATTCCTACAAGTGTGCCAAAGAACAATCGTTGAATTTGACATCAGTGCCTGCTGGAAAGGATTTCGGGGGCGAATTGAGGATCAGTCAGTTGCAAGTTCAAGCCTTTAAGAATAGTACCAGCACGAAGTTTGATGAAGGTGGGTTTTATCATAAAATCAATTAATTGTTGCTTTTTTTAATGAATGAAAAACGTGGAAAATAATGACAAAAATTATGAAATTAAAAATCGCATAACTGCCGACGCAATAAACAAAAATCATTGTTTACATTTATAAATTATGCTTGTGCTCAACGTTATTTTGATAAAATATATTGCGCCGATTAACTAATCTGTTTTTTGTCTAAATTTTCCATAAAGTAAATTGGATTTGAACTTTACACATTAATTTTGCTTCGCTAAACATTATTAGTTACTATTATTAGTGGCAGTAGGTCATTTTTTATTACTTAAATTGCAAAATACAATAAATGGAAATAAATTTAAAAAATGGTTTAAGTCTAAAATTGAATATTAGTCATGGCCATTAAAAAAAACAATACAATGTTTATGTAATATACATATCGTGAAAGGTTTTCAAACGGCAGTTAAATTGGTTTATTTGTAAAACGGTTCAAGTTTGTTTTTCTGATAAAACAGATGTTTCAACAAAAATTGAAAGTAGTATTTACTTATTCAAGTGTAATAACCTTCATGACGATAAAAAAAAACATTTCCTGGATGCTATCGATTCCTGTATTAAATGCATAAAATTAATATAAAAAAATAAATTGAAGTTGAGATAAAAAAATCATGCAAATAAATTTTTTATCAAAAAGTAAATAAATATTTTGTGTTGTCAAGTGATAACAGTATGTGATTAAACCAAAATTTAATTTGCCCTCTGGTGGTGAAATTGTGAGTAAATGTATGACTCAGTTAAGTATTGCCAACTCAAACAAGCATTTTTTACAACTATTAAATAATAAGTTTGTTATTTACGGTACTCATAAAAAGTAAAGTGTTTTATTAAATAAGATCGTAGTTAAAACTCCATCCTCTTGAATTAAAGCCACCATTATGTGGTTGTTAAAAAGTAATATATTATTAAAATTGTGTTAGGACGACGATAAAGCACACTTTTGTTGTCACAAATCGGTCACGTGCGACACCGTTTTTCACGGCCATCGAGTGATTGGATTATAATTTTTGTGAAATGAGGTGAAGGTCGAATTAATGATGATTTTTGTCTCAGCTCTCGATTGCCAAAGCTCTGAGACCCCTGATGTGGTACCGATCGCAGTTGGTTGTGCCCTTGCCGCATTGGTCATCATCGTGCTCATCGCCTATTTGATTGGGAGAAGACGATCTCAAGCACGCGGTTATCTCTCCATGTGAGTTATATTTAAAACACTCCGCTTATGTACGACGGGTCAGTGTACTCAATCAAGTTTGTTTCTACGTGTTTGCTTTTAAATTAGTATCCGTTTTGGAATTTGTCCGATTTGTGTTAAATTTTTTCCGTTATGAAAATCGGTCGACTCCTATTATTATTAGGTGTAATTTAGTGTCCTGTTTTCTCGAATTGTAGTAATTTTTTTATTAATTAGTAGTACCAAATTCCAGATTTAGATAAGTGAAGATTGGTATGGCTGAAAATGTATAGGCTGTGACAGCGAATTAAAAATGTAAATGTTAATAAATTTTCTGGGATAATTGTGTTTTTTATTTTCCTGTCCTGAGTTTGTGCGTGGTGAGTGTTGAGTGGTTTTTAATACCTGATTTTTGTAGGTTTGCTCAGAATAAACGAGAAGAGGATTACATACCGATGAAAAACTTGTCGTGTTTTAATTAATGTGAAAAATTTTAACTGTTGTGAGTATTATTCTGCTTGAATATTGTGATATTAGAATTTAATTAAACGTTTGTCGATTGTTGGCGCTTTTTTCTCCTTGACAACACTGTCACGAAAATGTCCAAAACCTCCGAATTGCGCCACTCCGATCGCCCCCAGAGCTCGCGCGACTTGAGTCTTTTGACCAATCAGGAGCTCGACCAATTGCGCAAGTCCAACGCCACGGTCAGACTCTCGCGATGGGAGGCTCTGAAGCTGTTTTTCTACAACAGCGAGGAAGGGACGGTTTGCTACCGAACTGGCACGAGTTGGCGTAAGAAATTGCCCCCAAATTTCAAAAATAACCCTTTTCTAGTTTTCATAATGACGTTTTATCCGCTATTCGTCTGTTTCATCGGGTGCCTCTTCTACGCCACGATGCTCCTTATGGTTTTCTGCATTACGATGTATGCCAAGCGACCTGTGATTAACAAAAACTCGCTCACGAAAGAGCCCACTTATTTCTGAGTTGTGTCAAAATGCGCTTTTTGAAAAACGTCCCGAGCACCACTAGCACCAAAAGCGAGTTTTATTTCCAACGCAAGCCTGAAAAAATCCCCAAATGTGAAGCTTTCAGGAAGTATTTGTTCAATTGGGAGGAAGGCACCGCTTGCAACCGAACCCCCAAGAGCTGGTGTTTGTTATTTGCAATTTCAATTTTCCCCCAACTTAATTTGTCAATTTCAGGTCTCTTGCTCATATTTTACGTTTCATTTTTGGTGATCATCTACAGTTTGTTCTTCGCAATGGTGTTCGGGGCTATTGCCACTATTGACTTTTTCACAAACGGGACTTTACACAATGTTACAATAAAAAATCCCAATTAATTATTTTTATTTCCATTTCAAGTCAGAGATTAGGGAAATGTGGTCGGAGGGGAAAACCACACTTGGTAGCGCCGTGTGTTGTCTCAACTCGTCTTCGGAGGGCAAAGGCACCACTTGCACCACGTCGAAACTCCCCGATTCGTAATAAATATAGTCGAGACAGTCTGCAAACCCGGCCGTGAAATTTGTGTATTTGGGGGTACCACAAGCGCTGGAAAGGCGCAAGTTTTGGTGGAGGGGCACCTTGACGGCCTCTTCCAAATCTAGAAACAACGATTAGAAACGTGGGGGCACTCAGAGACCCAATTACTGCTCTGGAAGTCTATGTGGTCCTCAGACACGTGTCCAGTGGTGTACAACTGGTAAATGCCACACTCGGGGGTGCTATTAAAGTCCCCACAAAGTATCAATGACAAGCGTTTATTCTCCATTTTTTTTCGAAACTCGTCGATGAGGTGTTCCAGATATTTGATAATGACAGCCCCTTGTAGCAGCCTGATATGATCAGCGTCTGGATGGAAGTACAAATGCGTGTTTCCCACCACCAAAACTTCATTATTTTCCACCGATTCAAGAAAATTCACCTGGAGAACAGTCGAACGGTCCAAAATCCGCTCACTCAACTTGTCATTTTCCGAGATTTTGGCCCAAATATCGGAAAAATTTTTCAACTCGTCTGATAAAACAAAACGGCGCGTTTGCAAGCATTTAAATCGTTGTTTGTTATAAAAACAAGCCAGTCCTTCGGCCACGGCCCCCCTTTTTATGCAAAAATCGGACTCGTACCCCAGTTCCTCAAAAAGGGGGCGCAAGTCGTAATTATACACTTTTCGGTCGACTTCTTGCAAACAGATTATATCACCGTTATATCCAGTAATTTCCTTAATAAACAATTGTTTTCTGTAATCGATAGCAAGGGCATAGGGGGGGCAATAAGGGTGCAGGACCTGTCTCGTAAAATCCGAATCGCAGTACAAATCGGCCAAAATATTATAAGACACGACTCGAAACCTGAAATTTCGTTTGAGAATTAATTAATTAATCCTGTAAATGACTCACGTGCTCCCTGAGCACTTCTCTTTAGTGAATTGATGTCTCGTTTCAAATGGACAGAATCCAGGACCGGCCTGGACTGGCACACTTGAGACTGTCTCAGCGATGGGCCCCACCAAATCCCCGTTTTTCGGCACACAACTCAGTTTCAAGTAAGCCCCAATGTCACTGTTGCTTGTGGTGTACACAAAACCGCCCCCAACCAAACTCCACTTATTTCGATCGTTTGATTTGTACCAATTAAACTCAGATTGGGCTTTATCAGTGTAGATGCTGTCGAATTTCATGGGGTACACCGGGAAGCCGGCTAGGATCGAACTAGGGAGCACCACCCCACTTATCCAAGGCGAGTTTATCACCACTTTAAACTCCTGTTCGCACACATTTAAAACCACTTTATTTCCGGAATCTGAGAAAATGTCTTTGCAGAGAGTCGTGTCGTCGGCTACCGGGGCTCCGTTGACGCTCACTGACACGCGAACGCCGACTGGGGGCCCAGTTTTTGACTTTTTCTTGACGATTTTCTCAATGTTTGTTGCCACTCGCTGAGTGAAGGTCGAGACAGGTTCAGTGACTTGGCGACTAAAATTAAACTGACGGTTGAGACGGGCATTGGGGTCCACGTACTGGAATGTCAGTTCGAACGTTTCAGAGTCGGTTAGGTGTCTCAAATAGGCCTGGTTCATGGCACACACGTAACGGTTGATAAAACGCAGGGAAAAGTACCGTGGAAGCGTGACACGGGCCAAAACCATCGGAAACTTCAACAACAAGGCAATAATAGCGCAAATACAACGACAAAAATGTGTTATTTGAAAAAATTGAGGTTAGGTTCGGGAAAAAGTGAGGTTGAGTTGTTGTGATCTTAGACACCGCCAGTATTATTTTTGTCTCGTTTTTTATCAAATTATTGCACAATTATGACCTATTTGAGACTAAAAATGTCAGTAACGAGCCACTGTAATTTTTTTCGAATGTTGTTCTAATTTTATTTAAAAAAATTCAAGGATGCGACTAAAGCTACGGTTGATTTTGACAGGAATGTAAACATAACCCGACTTTTGTCGCAATGTAGCCGGTTTTAATTTAATTATTTCATTATGTTGAAGATGTTGACGGCCCGCAAAAGCAAGACCCTTGTATCCGGTGGGTGTTTTCTCATCATTTTGTATTACTTCGGGGTGTTTACTCATTTGTTCGAGTCTGAGTTCAAGTCCTACTTTCAGTACCCCTACGATGGGGACATTGAAGAGTTCGTGCAGGCACTTCGCTCGAACGCAAGCCCTAAAGTGCCCCCTATTAACACCTACAACTTCCATTTTGCTAAATCAAGCCCCAACAAGTGCAAAGGCGTGGAAAATTTGCGACTGGTTTATTTGGTAAAGTCAGCCCCCGGGAATTTTGACCGTCGAATTGCGATTCGTGGGAGTTGGGGCTACGAGCACCGCTTCTCTGATGTGGAAATCCGCATGGTTTTTCTCCTAGGTGAGTCGGAAGATGCAATTTGGCAACGCAAAATCCAAACGGAGTCCGAGAGGTTTAAAGACATCGTCCAGGCGAATTTCACGGACAGTTATTACAACAACACGTTTAAAACCATGATGGGGTTTACATGGGTGGTCCGGTTTTGCCCCACAGCCCGTTTTTACATGTTTGTGGACGATGATTATTACGTTTCGACGAAGAATTTGTTGCGGTTTATTCGGAACCCCACCGCTTATCCGAATTACCTCGAACCGGCCAAGCAACGAAGACTGCACCAATTTGACTTTGATTTGGACGTGAACGTGCGACTCTACGCGGGGTATGTCTTTAAGTCAGCCCCTCATAGACACAGGATCAGTAAATGGTACGTGTCTCTGAGCGAGTATCCGTACGACATGTGGCCCCCTTATGTGACTGCAGGGGCGTATGTGGTGTCAAGAGAGGCGCTTTTAGACATGTACTACGCCAGTTTCTATACAAAACATTTCAAATTCGATGATATTTATGTCGGATTGTTGGCGTTTAAATGCAAAATTGAACCATATCATTGTGATCAGTTTTATTTTAATAAAGTGAATTATAATCTTGAAGATTATAAGTTTATGGTGGCGTCCCATGGCTATGGGGATCCGAGGGAACTTGTCAATGTTTGGACCCAGCAAAGGGCAAAAAATAATGCGTAGGTATGTGAGTACTTATTAAATTAAATTGGCAACACTGAATAAAATAACGACAAGAAATTGAGTTATTGTTCAATGTTGCTAACTTAATTTCAGAATCACACGCCACTTTGATCAGAAACGTTAGTGTGACTATTTGTCAATTTATTGAATGATTTAATAAAAATGTGATATCTTTTTGATTTTTATTTTCACTGTATTTTTCCAGAAAAAAATCGATTTAATAACCCACATTCCTGAATTGTATGTACAACAAGAACATACTGTTTGAGTTGGCTACAATGGGTTTCATTTTTAAATGTGTAAAGTGACTTAAATAGTTCGCTTTACATTGCATTTTCGGAAAGTATTGATTTCTATTTTTGGCGACAAATTTAAAATCTTAATTTGGCAAACTTGACTCTCAAATATCAAGCTTTTACACCTTTCGTTTTTACATGAAACCAAAAAAATTGCAAAGGATTTAATAGCTAAGGTTTATTTTGCTATTCGAATTACAGGGTGAATCACATATAAAACTACTATACAACCTAAAATACATACAAGATTCAAAGAATTTATGATACTTGTATTATACCTGACTTTCGGGTCTCAGTTATTTGAAAATTTTGTTTGAGATGCTCAAATTTAGTTTTTTTTAATTAATTGTCAACGACCTTACTCTAAATTGTATTAAATTATTTAAAAAAACAAAAAAATTATTTAAATATTTAGTAATTAATGTGCAGAGAAAGTCCGTTAGTATTTTCCAGAAACGATTTTAGGATATGCAACCGATAATACAATAATGTCTTAATGTATATGGATTATAATTTTTATAAGATAACAGTCAGTTTTTTTATTGTTAATAAATAAATTAAGCTTTATATCCTCTTATTTTGCTTACCTAAATGTTAGAATTTAAAACACATTTTGAGCTTTTGTGATATACTAAATCGAAAAAACAGGGTGTCTCAGCTTAGACATTTTCGGTCAATATCTCAGTTACTAACAATGAAACTAAAAGCTATTTTAATAACAAAAGTTAGTCGTGTTTAGATACTTCTTTGCTATGTGTCAAGTGTAATTTCACTCCTCTTTTATTATAAATTTTTTTTCAAGTAATGCCTTTTCCTGTATTGTCTTCTGATTTCAAACTTTTGTAAGCACTCTTATGTATTTTTATTGAGATATGTTCCACCCTAAATTAAATTTTTCAATTTTGATCTAATTTGAATTTTGGAAAAATAAAAGAATTTAAAAATAAATTAAATAAGAGCCACTAAAACATTTGAAGTCAATTGTGTTGATTTTTCTGTACATTTTTCGAATATAAAAGTCTTTAAAATCCTAAGTGTAACGACATGATCTTAGTTGAGACACTCTGTACAAAACTTGTAATTAAAATAAATAATAGCTTTGTTTGCAGTAACCATCTAGATCCTAAAATCTTAGGTGTATTTTTGGACATCATTGAAGGTATATTTTATTAAAGGATGACCAAAACAGTCGTGACTAATAGATGATGTAAAGAGTGCGTCAGGTTTTGCGCCACTCTTTTCGGTATTTAAGAGTGCATTTTTACAGCAACAGACGCGATTGAATAAATCCCTCTAACAATCTGAAAAACACAACTGAAACGTTTCAAAATAGTAAAAAACCATATCATACGGCTAATCCGAGTTGGAAATTAATGGAATAATTTTCGGTAAATCTGATTTTACGTTCTTTCATCATGTTTGTTAAAAGTATTAAGTAGAGTTTTTTATTGGATTGATTAAAGTTGTACCATCTGATTTGATTCAGTGCCGTAATCATCTCAGCTACCTAAAATCACATCATTTTTTATTCCAATTACTTGAAACGATTACATGAATTTCCATAGATTGTCCGCCCCAAATAATGGCTGAAAAAGTCGTTGTTGCAACAAGCGTAATGGCGGATATCCGCAAATAATACTCAAAAGCCAAGTTTCCTACATCAGAAGTCAATATGTTTCCCTTAAAAATTTGTTATTAAACCAAACGAGTTTTTCTAAATACGCACAGAAAATATATAAATTGAAATTCCAATGCCTATTAAAACGCCACAAATTGCAAATGCTGCCACCAAAATATCGACCTCTTTGGTTTTAACAAGGTGTAGCCTAAAATAACTAAATTTGTGATAATTACAATTTAAAAAATTATTTTATTACTTGACAAACTCCTGAAATCGTTGAATGCAAAACTTTAATTTGCGTTCCACTTGTTTCTGATAAGATTTCTTATCAAACAGTTCTGTTTCACGTAAATTCGTCTCCCAAAAATCCACATCTATTATGACTTTGTTAAATAACTGGATTTGGTAATTTGTGTGCTGAGTGATGTAGAGGATTTGGTAGGTGTGCACTAGTGCCATGTAACCACCGAGGGGGTATGTGGCTAAGAAAAGAATTGTAAGAATTGTTTCATGATTGGGAAAATACTCGTGGATTAAACGGAAAGTGATAACGATTTTCATATCGTCTGGTAGAGGTTTTATGGAGAGTATTAATGCAATAGCAAAAAGAAAAGTATTGCAAATAATAAAAAGATTCAACATTTTGATTTGACGTTTAATTTTGGAGTGGGTTTTTTCGCCTACTGTGTCTATGGCCCAGATTTTTATCTCGTTTTTTAGATTATGAATCAGTTTGTCTTTTAATAACACTATTAAAATGGCGAGTACTGGCTGAAAAACATATTTTTTTTAATAATTTGAAAAAAATATCTTACATAGAATGTTCCAAAAAATACCGGTGAATAATCAATAAACAGACTCGGGGTTGTCACATACAAAACGTAGTAAATTAAGAACAGATTTACTCCTATCCATAAAATGAAAATCGCACTTATGAGGATTTTAACGGGTAGCAATTGAAAAATATCAGATGCGATAAATTTGAGGAATTTTAAATTATCATCTAAAATATGGTTGAATTACTGCACTTTTGTATTTGTTTTTTAAAACCTTTCATGAGTTTTATCTCCGAATAATCCATTTTCATTATTCCAAAAACCAGACACAACTTATTTTATTTTTTATTCTGTGATCAGTAGCACGAATATAGCGATTTTCAGTTTCCACTTTCTTTTATACCTTTGTTAATGAAACAATAAATGTTATAAATAAAGGTTATTATCATTATTTTTATGATTTATTCATTAAGACCACATATTATGGTAAAGGATAAAATGGAAAAACGAATTAATTACAATTTTCAACAATAAACAATTTCCAAAACTTGGTAATTATTGTTAATAATATATTAGATAGTTTATTTAAAAAAACAGTTTGTAGAAGAACAATTCTTTATACAATTTCTTTGTAAATATACATATTTCATATATTCATCAACATAGTGATGCCTGTTTAAGTTGGCAACGGAATTAATGAACCGGGTGACTTTTAATGTTTCTGACAAAAAATCTGTTGGCAACACTGAATTATTGGTAATTCTTCTAATTTGTTATATCAGGATGTTTCAGATGGCGATTAAGCCAAAAATTTGGATTTGCATGTCAGGTTACCAGATTGAAATTTAAAATTTGACACTAAGCTGAGGTTAAAAATCACAATCATTTACAGTCACCTTGTATGTCAAATTTAATGAATGTCTCGCTCCAGGCTCCAAACTACCGCTATTCTCTTTTAAACGATGATTTTTTTCACATGTTTCGATAAAATCTGTTTTTGTCGCTTATAACTGTGCTAATCGTTTAAAATGAGGATTTTTGGGTTGTTTGAGCGAAGTGTAGCTTTTTAATTCAGATGGCCTTGTCTCATAATAATTATTTATTTTTTGCGAATTTTATTTTTGTTTTTAATTTTCATTCAAAGGTCGACGATAGGTAGGTATAGGCACACAACATAAACAACAAATTTAGGTTTCAGCTTTTTCTGTTAATTTTATAATATAAGAAAGACATCTAATTTATCGGCATGAAGTGTACGCGATTGAAATTTGATCCAAGTTGGTCACTATTTCAAAATTTTAAACTTTATTGAAAAAAAATAAAATTGTATTCTTTGTGGAATAACAACGTAGAATTTGAGGTAAAATTGATTCTTGTACTGTACTACTTATGGAAATATAATTGCTAATCGTTTAGAATGAGTTTTCACAAAAGAATTTGCTTTGTCGTAGACTGTCCATTTAAACCTTGGATTTATGTTTCGTTTTCCGCGTCTGGACGCAGAAAAAGAGCCAGAGAAGTACAGATTGTAATGTAAAAAAAATTTTAACCTGTAAGCTTTTTCTGAAAATAAAATTTTGCCTAAATCATGTATTTTATATTTGATTTATTTTTAACAATGATAAAGAAAAAGACTCAAAATTGGTGTCTTTTCTATTTCTGGTCCCTCCGAAGGATAACGCCACAAAGAAACTTTTAAAAACCATCGAGAAGGTGTTTTATTTAGTTCTATGACTCGACTTATTCAGAATATTTTTTGATAGATATGTCCCTCAAAAAACAATTGGATGTTTAAAGTCGGATTTCACAATTCAATTTTTACAAATTTATACAGAGAAACAGCCATTATGAATTAACTGCGACTTTAATATACCTATTATTAGCAATAATTACCAAGTTTTGGAAATTGTTTATTGTTGAAAATTAAAATCAATTCGTTTTTCTATATTATCCTTCACCATGATGTGGTCTTTATGAATAAATCATAAAAATAATGATAATATAGAGTATGACGCCACAAAGAAACTTTTAAAAACCATCGAGTAGGCGTTCTATTTAGTAGTAGTACTATGACTGCGCCTGTCACAATTGTTGACACAGTTTAGTTTTTTCTGCTACCAACATAGACACAACCCACACACTAGAGGTAACGGGCTAGGGACTGCCAACTTTCAATAAATTAAATGGGCACTGTGAATTGTCGCGGTCAAAACACTTAAGATAAGGCGCACTAGATTTTATATGTGAAATAACTCGACTTTTTCAAAGTATTTTTTTGATAGATATGTTCCCTCAAAAAACAATTAGATGTTTAAAGTCGGATTTGCATAACTCAATTTTTACAAATTTACACAGAGAAGTGGCCACTATGAATTAACTGCGACTTTATTAGCACTAATTACCAAGTTTTGGAAATTGTTTATTGTTGAAAATTAAAATTAATTCGTTTTTCTATATTATCCTTTACCATGATGTGGTCGTAATGAATAAATCATAAAAATAATGATAATAACCTTTATTTACAACATTTATTGTTTCATTAACAAAGGTATAAAAGAAATTGGAAACTGAAAATCGCTATATTCGTGCTACTGATCGCAGAAAAAAAGTAAAATAAATTGTCGGGTTTTTGGAATAATGAAAATGAATTATTCGGACATAAAATTCATGAAAGGTTTTAAAAAAACAAATACAAAAGTGCAGTAATTGAACCATATTTTAGATGATTATTTGAAATTCATCAAATTTATTGCATCTGATATTCTTCAATTGCTACCCGTTAAAATCGTCATAAGTGCGGTTTTCATTTCATGGGTAGGAATAAATCTATTCATGATTTACTACGTTTTGTATGTGACAACCCCACGTCAGTTTAATGATTATTCACCGGTATTTTTTGGAATATCTTATGTAAGCAATTTTTTTCCAATTTATTAAAAAAAACATGTTTTTCAGCCATTACTTTCCATTTTAATAGTGCTATTCAAAGACAAACTGATTCACAATCTTAAAAACGAGATAAAAATCTGGGCTATAGACACAGTGGGTGAAAACACCCACTCCAAAATTAAACGTCAAATCAAAATGTTGAATCTTTTTGTTATTTGCAACACTTTTCTTCTTGCTACAGCAGTAATACTCTCCATAAAACCTCTACCAGACGATATGAAACTCATTTTCGCTTTGCGTTTCATCCACGAGTATTTTCCCAATCATGAAACAGTTCTTACAATTCTTTTCATAGCCACATATCCTGTCGCCGCGTACATGGTAATAGTGCACGCCTACCAAATCCTCTACTGCACTCAGCACACAAATTTCCAAATCCAATTATTTAACAAAGTCTTAGCAGATGTGGATTTTTGGGAGAGGAATTTACGCGAAACTGAATTGTTTGACAATAAATCTTATCAGAAACAAGTGGAACACAAATTAAAGTTTTGCATTCAACGATTTCAGGAGTTTGTCAAGTAATAAAGTAATTTTTTCAATTGTAATTACCACAAATTTGGTTATTTTAGGCTACACCTTGTTAAAACCAAACAGATCGATATTTTGGTGGCAGCATTTGCAATTTGTGGCGTTTTAATAGGCATTGGAATTTCAATTTACATATTTTCTGTGCGTATTTAGAAAAACTTGTTTGGATTAATAACAATTCTTAAAGGGAGACTTGATTTCTAGTGTGGGAAACTTGGGTCCTGAGTATTATTTGCGAATATCCGCCATTACGCTTGTTGGAACGACGACTTTTTCGGCCATTATTTGGGGCGGACAATCTGTAGAAATTCATGTAATTGTTTCAGGAAATTGGAATAAAAAATCATAAGTGATTTTAGTTAGCTGAAATGCTTACGACGCTGAATCAAGTCCGATGGTACAACTTTAATCAAACTAATAAAAAACTCTACTTAATACTTTTAACAAACATGATGAAAGAACGTAAAATCAGATTTACCGAAAATTATTCCATTAATTTCCAACTCGGATTAGCCGTATGACATGATTTTTTTACTATTCTGAAAGGTTTCAGTTTGTGTTTCAGATTGTTAGAGGGATTTATTCAGTCGCGTCTGTTGCTGTAAAAATGCGCTCTTAAATACCGAAGAGTGGCGCAAAACCTGACTCACTCTGTACATCATCGATGTCGTCATCTATTAGTCACATTGTATGCCCGACTGTTTGGCCATCCTTGAAAAACACACCTAAGATTTTAGGATCTAGATGGTTACTGCAAACAAAGCTATTATTTATTTTAACTTTTGTGCAGATTGTTTCGACTAAAATCATTCTACACTTGGGATTTTAAAGACCTTTATGTACAGAAAAATTACACAATTGATTTCAATTTTTTTAGTGGCTCTTATTTAATTTATTTTTGCCATATTCTTTTGTTACTTTTCTAAAATTCAAATTAGATCAAAATTGAAAAATTTAATTCAGGGTGGAACATATCTCAATAGAAATACATAAGAGTGCTTACAAAAGTTTGAAATTAGAAGACAATACAGGAAAAGGCATTACTTGAAAAATGTTTTATAATAGAAGAGGAGTAAAATTACACTTGACACATAGCAAAGAAGAATCTAAACACGACTTAGTAATTTTTCTTACTACAATATCAGTTGACCGAAAATGTCTAAGCCGAGACACTCTGTTTTTACGATTTAGTATCACAAAAGCATAAAATGTGTTTTAAATTCTAACATTTAAGCAAAAATAAGAGGATTTTAAGCTTAATTTATTTATTAACAATAAAAAAAAACTGATTGTCATCTTATAAAAATTATAATCAATAGATATTATTGCATTATCGGTTGCATATCCTTAGTAAAATCGTTTGTTGTGTTGGTTGTTAAAAAATAATATTTTTTAATCATTTCTGCAAAATACCAATCGACTTCATCTGCACACTAATTACTAAATATTTAAATTATTTTTTTGTATTTTAAATAATTTAATACAATTTAGAATAGGTCAAGGTCAGCGATGACAATTAATTAAAAAAAAAAAATAATTTGAGCATCCCAAACTCAAATTCTTCAATTAACTGAGCTATTGAACTCGAAAGTCTTACGTAGGACAGTCTGTATAATAAATTCTCTGAATGTTGTATGTATTTTAGGTTGCATAGTAGTTTTATGTGATTCATCCTGTAATTCGAATAGTAAAATAAACCTTTTCTATTACGTCCTTTGCATTTTTTTTTGGTTTCAAATAAAAACGAGAGATGTAAATGTTTGATATTAAGAGTCAAGGTTACCAAATTAAGGTTTCAAATTTGGCGCCAGGAACATAAATCAATACTTTCCGAAAATGCAATGTAAAGCGAGCTTTAATTATTTAAAAGTGCTTTTACACATTTTTGTCCGCCATTTAAAGATAAAATCCATTGTAGCCAGACAGTATATTGTAGCACAACTCACGAATAAGGATTACCAAATTGATTATTTTTCTAGAAAAATACGGAGAAAATAAAAACCAAAAAGATTTTCACATTTTTATTAAGTAATTCAATAAGTTGGCAAATAGTCACACTAATAAAAAAACTGACTTATTAAACTTTTGAATTTGATGAGGGAAAAGTAGCCTCTTATAAAGTACCGATGCTTAAATTGTATGTTTGCAAAATTTTAAAAAAACAAGTGGCGTCTAGCGATTTTACTAAATTACTAAATTGACTATAAGCTTACGTTTTTTCTGCAATGTAATTTTTGTTTATTGTTTACGAAATTGAACCCTCTAATCCCCCCCTTCGGGTACGGCCCTTTATCCCTCTGACCTGTATTTTTGGACATCCTTGAAGTTATATTTTATTAAAGGATGACCAAAACAGTCGTGACTAATAGATGATGTAAAGAGTGCGTCAGGTTTTGCGCCACTCTTTTCGGTATTTAAGAGTGCATTTTTACAGCAACAGACGCGATTGAATAAATCCCTCTAACAATCTGAAAAACACAACTGAAACGTTTCAGAATAGTAAAAAACCATGTCATACGGCTAATCCGAGTTGAAAATTAATGGAATAATTTTCGGTAAATCTGATTTTACGTTCTTTCATCATGTTTGTTAAAAGTATTAAGTAGAGTTTTTTATTGGATTGATTAAAGTTGTACCATCTGATTTGGTTCAGTGTCGTAATCATTTCAGCTGCCTAAAATCACTTATTATCATTTTTTATTCCAATTACCTGAGACAATTACATGAATTTCCATAGATTGTCCGCCCCAAATAATGCCCGAAAAAGTCGTCGTTGCAACAAGCGTAATGGCGGATATTCTCAAATAATACTCAGAAGCCAACTTTCCTACATCAGAAGTCAATATGTTTCCCTTAAAAATTTGTTATTAAACCAAACAAGTTTTTCTAAATACGCACAGAAAATATATAAATTGAAATTCCTATGCCTATAAAAACGCCACAAATTGCAAATGCTGCCACCAAAATATCGACCTCCTTGGTTTTAACAAGGTGTAGCCTAAAATAACCAAATTTGTGATAATTACAATTTAAAAAAATAATTTATTACTTGACAAACTCCTGAAATCGTTGAATGCAAAACTTTAATTTGCATTCCACTTGATTCTGATAACTTTTATTGTCAAAAAGTTCGGTTTCGCGTAGATTTGTCTCCCAAAAATCTACATTTGCTAAGACTTTGTTAAATAACTGTATTTGGAAATTTATGTGCTGAGTGAAGTAGAGGATTTGGTAGGTGTGCACAAGTGTTATGTAGAAGCCGACGGGGAATGTGGATAAGAAAAGAATTGTAAGAACTGTTTCATAATGGGGAAAATACTCGTGGATTAAACGCAAAGCGAAAATTATTTTTATATCGTCTGGTAGAGGTTTTATGGAGAGTATTACTGCTGTAGCAAGAAGAAAAGTATTACAAATAACAAAAAGATTCAACATTTTGATTTGACGTTTAATTTTGGAGTGGATTTTTTCACCGACTGTGTCTATGGCCCAGATTTTTATCTCGTTTTTAAAGTTGTGAATCATTTTGTTTTTAAATAACACAATTAAAATGGCGAGTAATGGCTGAAAAACATATTTTGTTTAATAAATTAAAAAAAAATTACTTACATAGAAAATTCCAAAAAATACCGGTGCATAATCATTAAATTGACGCGGGGTTGTCACATACAAAACGTAGTAAATCATGAACAGATTTATTCCTGTCCATGAAATGAAAACCGCACTTATGACGATTTTAACGGGTAGCAATTGAAAAATATCAGATGCGATAAATTTGATGAATTTCAAATAATCATCTAAAATATGGTTGAATTACTGCACTTTAGTATTTGTTTTTTGAAACCTTTCATGAGTTTTATGTTTAAGTTATCCATTCTCATTATTTTAAAAACCAGAAATAAGTTAATTTACATTTTATTCTGCGAACAGCAACATGAATGTAGCGATTTTTAGTTTCTACTTTCTTTTATATCTTTATTAATGAAATAATAAATGTTGTAAATAAGCGTTATTATCATTATTTTTATGATTTATTCATTAAGACCACATTATGGTAAAGGATAAAATGGAAAAACGAATTAATTTTAATTTTCAACAGTAAACAAAACTTGATAGTTATTGTTAATAATATATTAGATACTTTATTTAAAAAAATAGCTTCTAGAAGAACAATTTATTAAATATATTTTGTATATACCGTGTGATCAATATAGTGATGCCTGTTCAAGTTGGCAACGGAATTAATGATACTAGATGACTATTAATGTTTGTGACAAAAATCTATTAGCAACATTGTTTTATCATGTTTTATTTGGAAACTAAACCAGTGTTTTTTTTATTTAAAAATTAACGTCGTTTAATCCCTCTAAGCCACTAAATAAGAGCCACTAAAAATTTGATGTCAATTGTGTAGATTTTTCTCTACATTTTTCGAAGAGTCTTCACAGTGTTTTTCTTTTGGTTTTCCTTTTTTGTCAAATGTATTTCACTATTACTCAAAACTACATATTTCATTTGATATATTAATGCCAAAGCGACGTAGATGGGAAATAGTTTTGAGAAATAGTGAAGTACATTTGAGAAAACCAAAAGAAAAACTCTGTAAAATCCCAAGTGTAACATGATCTTAGTTGAGACACTCTGTACAAAACTACGTAATTAAAATAAATAATATGTAGCTTTGTTTGCAGTATCCATCTATCCCTCCAGAGTCGTAACCAAAATTTTATTTCGGGGTGAGTTTTCTTGTTGATCCATGAAAGGAGAAGGAAGAGGCGGAGTGAAAAGCAAATTAAATTACAAATTTAATTTAAGAGTGCATTTTTACAACAACAGACGCGATTGAATAAATCCCTCTAACAATCTGAAAAACACAACTGAAACGTTTCAAAATAGTAAAAAACTATATCATACGGCTAATCCGAGTTGGAAATTAATGGAATAATTTTCGGTAAATTTGATTTTACGTTCTTTCATCATGTTTATTAAAAGTATTAAGTAAAGTTTTTTATTGGTTTGACTAAAGTTGTACCATCTGATTTGATTCAGTGTTGTAATCACTTTAGCTGCCTAAAATCACTTATCATTTTTTATTCCAATTACCTGAAACGATTACATGAATTTCCATAGATTGTCCGCCCCAAATAATGCCAGAAAAAGTTGTTGTTGCGACAAGCGTAATGGCGGATATTCGCAAATAATACTCAGAAGACAAGTTTCCTACATCAGAAGTCAATATGTTTCCCTTAAAAATTTGTTATTAAACTAAACGAGTTTTTTTAAATACGCACAGAAAATATATAAATTGAAATTCCTATGCCAATAAAAACACCACAAATTGCAAATGCTGCCACCAAAATATCGACCTCTTTGGTTTTAACAAGGTATAGCCTAAAATAACCAAATTTGTGATAATTACAATTTAAAAAATTACTTTATTACTTGATAAACTCCTGAAATCGTTGAATGCAAAACTTTAATTTGTGTTCCACTTGTTTCTGATAAGATTTATTGTCAAACAGTTCAGTTTCGCGTAAATTCCTCTCCCAAGAATCTACATTTGCTAAGACTTTGTTAAATAATTGGATTTGGAAATTTATGTGCTGAGTGTAGTAGAGAATTTGGTAGGTGTGCACTAGTGCCATGTAACCACCGACGGGGTATGTGGCTAAGAAAAGAATTTTAAGGACTGTTTCATAATTGGGAAAATACTCGTGGATTAAACGCAAAGCGAAAAGGATTTTCATATCGTCTGGTAGAGGTTTTATGGAGAGTATTACTGCTGTAGCAAGAAGAAAAGTATTGTAAATAACAAAAAGATTCAACATTTTGATTTGACTTTTAATTTTGGAGTGGGTTTTTTCACCCACTGTGTCTATGGCCCAGATTTTTATCTCGTTTTTAAAGTTGTGAATAATTTTGTCTTTAAATAACACAATTAAAATGGCGAGTAATGGCTGAAAAACATATTTTTTTATAAATTAAAAAAAAATTGCTTACATAGGAAATTCCAAAAAATACCGGTGAATAATCAATAAACTGACGCGGAGTTGTCACATACAAAACGTAGTAAATTAAGAACAGATTTATTCCTACCCATGAAACGAAAACCGCACTTATGACGATTTTAACGGGTAGCAATTGAAAAATATCAGATGAGATAAATTTGAGGAATTTCAAATAATCATCTAAAATATGGTTGAATTACTGCACTTTTGTATTTGTTTTTTAAAACCTTTCATAAGTTTTATCTCCGAATAATCCATTTTCATTATTCGAAAAACCAGACACAACTTATTTTATTTTTTATTCTGTGATCAGTGGCACGAATATACCGATTTTCAGTTTCCATTTTCTTTTATATCTTGGTTAATGAAACAATAAATGTTATAAATAAAGGTTATTATCATTATTTTTATGATTTATTCATTAAGACCACATTTACCATAGTAAAGGATAAAATGGAAAAACGAATTAATTTCAATTTTCAACAATAAACAATTTCCAAAACTTGGTAATTATTGCTAATAATATATTATATACTTAATTTAAAAAAATTGTTTCTACAATTTTCTTGTAAAAATATTTTATATATACCGGGTGATCAAGAGTGACTGTTTAAGTTGGCAACGGAATTAATGATACCGAGTGACTATTAATGTTTGTGAGAAAAAAAAACATTGTCAACACTGAATTATTGTTTTATTTGGCGACTAAGCCAGAGTTGGCCGTCGCAAATGAATGACAATTGTGTTATAAAGTTTGACGTTTGAATTTGAGAGACAATGTTGCCAATCTAAGATTCTAAATTTGATGCCAAAAAAATCACAATCAATTATTACAGTGTCATTTTTTTATTTGGAAAAAGTAACACAATTTTAAAATACATTAATATAATATTATAATTAATATATTTTTTTGTGGTGGTCAAGAATAAGTGTTTAAATTGGCAAACAGAATTAATATTGATACCAAATCAATTAATTAAATTAATGTGTGTCACTAATTGGTAACATTGAATTATTGGTAATTCTCCTAATTTGTTCTCTTAAGATGCTTCACATGATGTTTGGATTTGAAAGTCAAGGTTGCCACACTAAAACTTGTCACCAACTTGGGGTTAAAAATCAAAATCATTTACAGTCACCCGGTATGTCAAATTTAGTAAATTTCTCGCTTGAAATTTATTAAATTTTGTGAATTTGCCGTTTAAAACCGCGCTAATTGTTCAAAATGAGGATTTTTTTTGATTGTTTGAGCAACATCTACCGGGTGGTTACAAATGTTTCTGGCAAAGAATTATTGGTAACCTTTCTAATTTGTTCTATTAGAGTGATGTTATTTTCTTATTTAGCACTTCCTTTTATTTTTGATTAAATTAAATCTGAAATTTAAATGAGCAGTTTTCCTTGGTGTTGGACCACATTTTTAAGAGAACTAGTAATTTAAAATACACAAATAAAACAATACAATTACGCATAATTAATGAAACTTAGAATAAATAAAATAATTTATTCTAAGGTGTTGCAGTGTTTTCCTGGATAATTATAAACACAAGAACGCAATCAAAATTATTGTAATTAATGCATTTTTTATAGCCTAGAGGTTGCTTAAATAACACGTTGTTTGAAGTTTTTCCTAGTTGTGACCGACTACTCACAATGTTTGTATTTGCTGTAATTCTTTGCATATTTATTTTGTATTTATACCACCGAAATGAGAAATTAAACCGAATTTTGGGTACTTTTCCAGAACCACCGAAAAAATTCCTGTTGGGACATGTGCTCGATATAAAATCAACAACCGGTAATTATTTCAAATCAAATTTTATGCACTGATTGATTTTTAGACGTTCTTGATGTTTTCTCCAAGTACATAAACGACTTCGGACCTACTATAAAACTGCGAGCTGCTACTCTTTTCGCAGGACTTGGAACAACAGATTACCAACTTTGTGAACTCTTATTGAGTAATAATCGAATTTTATCAAAGTCCCTAAACTATCAGTATGCAAGAAATTGGTTGGGAAACGGCCTACTGACTAGCGACGGTGAGACTTGTTCATTTATAGTTCCCAAAAATAATAAAAAAATAGGAGATTATTGGCGCCGACATCGGAAAATCCTGACTCCAGCTTTCCATTTCGAAGTTCTCAAACAATTTGTCGAAACTTTTGAATCCGTGGGAGGGATTTTCGTAGAAAAATTGGAAAATTCTCAAGGGTCTAGTGTCGATTTGCCCCCTTTGATCACCCTGTGCACCCTGGACGTGATTTGTGGTAAATACAGGGTGTTTTCTTAATATTACGAAAAATTTCAACCACATACAGGATGTATATTGCGAGTTGAAAAAGTCCGTTAGTGACCTTTAAATGCTAAAATTAAAAAAAAATTATACAGGCTGCGCCAGAACACTCGCCCTAGAGAAAAATGCTATATAAGGAAAGATACCAGGAACATGGAAAAAATGTTAAAAAAATTTATTATAAAAATTTCGAAGTTATTAGGGTTTAAAGTTTGCACTTTGCCTCTATTTATTTCTGTTGCAACAATAATTTTTCAAGTTTTTTTGCTACAGGCTGTTAGAAGACGAAACAAAGAAGCTGTATCCTAAATTGTAACTCTGTTTAATGTTATTTGTGGCTTTTATTGGCAAAATTTTTGTACCTTTACTAAATAATTGTAAAAAAACATATACAAGTTCGTCAGTATTATTAAATAGACATAAAAAAATGTCAAATGTCAAAAATTTTTAACAGATAGAATTTTTTAAACATTTTTTCCATGTTCCTATCATCTTATCTTACTTCTCTGGAGCGCGAGTTCTGGCGCACCCTGTATAGATACTAATCCATTGCCTAAAATTATTTTTAAAGTTACAGCTTTTCTCAAAAATAAGTTACAATACAAACTTGTGTTTTTTTGAATGAAACACCATATGTTTCTGAGCATTTTTGGATGTAGATTTTTATGACAATGTTTTTAAACTAAACTTTTATTGGTCGATTTTGCTTAGTTTTACAAATAAGATGTTTTTTTTGACAAAAACATGCTCTTTTTAAAAATTTATTACGCAAAAACGAGGACATCTAGAAATATTTTTTTATTACCGCAAAGAAGAAGGTATAAGCTATAAGGTTGTAACATTTTTTTAGTGTGTTGCATTTGCAAAGATAAAAAAATGAAGGCTTTTGCTAAAAGTTTAATAACTTAAAAAATTAAGTGGGACAGCCTATTTTATTGTTTTTGCATTTAAAAGATTATTAAATTGTCTTTCTAAAATTATTTACTTTTAGGTTTTTATAATCAATAACTAAAAAGATATTTAACGTTAAACAAACAAAAAATAATAATCATTACTATTGTTTTAGTAGCCAAAAAGTGCATAGTTGCATAAGAGATGGAAGAGATATAACTTAATAATCAGGTTTGTGTTAAACTGAATCCATTATTATTTATTTTCACAAAGTTTAGCTTAAAAACATTGTTTTAAAAAGCTACATCCAAAAATGCCAAGAAACATAGAGTGTTTTATTAAAAAAAAAACACAAGTTTATATCGTAAGTTATTTTTGGGACATGCTGTATTGTTAAAAATAAATAAGTGATGTAATAGAGTAGTATCTATCAATGTCCTACACAATTCTTTTAAATTTCACTATTTAGAGGTCACTAATAGACTTTTGCAACTTGCTGGGACACCCTGTATGTATTCTACATCGAAAAATAATACTAATAAATAAAAATATTCAAATTTTATGACCCTGTATATCCGTAACGAGGCTTTATAGACCTATCGTTTTTTATTCTCACCTGAGGATGACCACTTTGTGGTCGAAACGCGTTGTGCTATTAAAATAAAAGTTTGGTGTGACGGGCTAATCGTGTTTTTGTTTATCGTTTTTTTAACAAATTAATGTTGTTTTCGATGTAGAATATGTAATTTGAGAAAACACCCTGTATATTGAAAAATCAGAAACTGCAATGGGGACGAAAATCAACGCTCAGAACGGCGAAAATGCAAACTACGTGGAAAATGTGAAGGAAATGTGTCGAATCTTGATCGATAGAGGGTTATCGCCCTTAAAAATTCTCAACACCACCTACTGGATGACCAAGGATTATTACAAAGAGAAGAAATCGCTGAAAATTTTGCACACTTTCACTTCAAATGTCATCGAAAAACGCAAAGCCGAGCGAAGCGAGGAAAACCCAACGAAATTGGCTTTTCTGGATTTGTTACTGAAAGGGGAAATGCTCACCGATCAGGAATTGCAGGAAGAAGTCGATACTTTCATGTTTGAGGTGCGCTCTCGGAGTGCTTAACAATTTTTTCTACGACTTTTGTAGGGTCATGATACGACAGCATCGTCGATTTGTTTCGTTTTGTACTGCCTGGCAAACCATCCCCAAGTCCAAGTGTGTATTTTTTACCAACTGTTTTTTTATTAAATTTTATTAGGGGAAAGTTTTAAGGGAACAAATCGAATTGTTTGGGGATGCGAAAGCTCCAATTGTGACTTATCAAGAGTTACAAAAAATGAAGTATTTGGAACAAGTGATTAAAGAAACTTTGAGATTGTATCCAGCGGTTCCAATAATCGGGCGATGTGTTACGGAAGATATCATTTTTGGTATTTATAGGCTCGGCCGCGCCTCGGACTAATTTATTCTTGTAGGTGAACATTTAATTCCCAAAGATACAAATATCGCAATTTTTATTTATGGGATTCACAGAAATCCGAAGTTTTTTCCGGATCCGGAAACTTTTAATCCCGACAGATTCGAAAATTTGAATTTGCCGCCATTTGCTTACATCCCGTTTAGTGCAGGGCCCAGGAATTGCATAGGTAATTTTTTTGAGGGGCCGCTAACTAAATGTGTACAACTAAATCACATTCTAAACAATTTCACCCAAATTCCAGTAATTCCAAGAAATTTCTCAATAATCCATCGTAATTCCAAATTAATTCCTGTAATTACAACTTCATTTTCGTGATCCTAACTTAATTTTTGTAATTCAAAGTTAATTCTAGTAATTTCGATATTTAATTTTGAAAAGAAATTAATTCCAATAATTCTATATAGCATTCCAGTAATACCAAAATTGCACCGAAATTCTAGTAATATCAATAATCCATTGTAATTCTATTGTTTTTGAATTAATTCTTATAATTCAAAATTAATTTTTGTTATTCAAACTTAATTCCAACTTAATTTTCGTAATTTCAACTTAATTTTTGTAATTCCAAAATACTCATTCTGATACTTTTAAGAAATTCAACGTAATTTTGAAAAGAAATTAACTCCGATAATTCTATAAAGAATTCCAGTAATTCCAATAATTTGCCGCAATCCTATTGTTTTCAGATTAATTTTTATAATTCCAAATTAATGCCAGCTTATAGTGTCCGTAATTTCAACTTAAGTTTTGTAATTCTAAAATAATTATTGTAATTCTAAATCAATTCCGATAGTTCTGAGAATTTCAACGTAATTTTTAAAAGAAATTATCTTCGAATATTCCAAACAAAATCAAGTAATTCTAGTAATTCATAAATAATTCCGTTATTTCTAAACAATCTAGAGAGAATTTGTACTAATTCCAGAGTTAACGGCTCCTCATTTTTTTTTGACAAAAAATTGTGGTTTTAGGTCAAAAATTTGCAATGTTGGAAATAAAAAGTATTGTCTCTAAAGTTGTCAGATGTTTTGAGTTGAGATCAGCTGAGCCTTATCACAATTTGTTGTTATCAGCAGAGACTGTCCTCAAGTCGGCGAATGGGATTAAAATTGGGATCAAAAAACGAATTTGAAAAAAAACAAAGTAGCTAAATATTTATTCTGTATTTTTATAATTTTCAACAAATAAAACACAATTTTTTACTGTTGTATTTATTTTTGACATTTTTGCATCACATTCTACGTTTTCCAATTACTTTAGGGTCGCTATTACGATTTTTTGAGTTATAAGACTGAAAAAAATGTTAAAATGATCAAAAAATATTGCGTTGCTAATTTAATGTTAGGAAAAAAAATAATCGTTTAACATCAACTATTAAGTCATTTTTGTTTATTTACTTATTTAAAAAAAAATTCACTTAACAAAACACAGAAAGTGCATCACAAGACCTTGATCTTTGAATAGCAAACAGGCTTTATTGAACTTTACTCCGATTTTCATCTACTTGGAATACATTCAAACATTTAATCTTATTTAACCCTTTTATTTATACGTAACCATGTTCTTAATTGCGGTCGTTGTTGTTTTAATTTTGATATATTTTTTTCTAAAACCGGGGAAAAACACAACAAATATTGAGGATTTCCCTGAACCTCCATCGGTGTTATTTTTTGGTCATGCACTTGACGTCAAATCGACCACAGGTAGGTATCTGTTTTTCTTTTATTTCTTGTATTAACTTTTTTTAATAGAAGTTCTTGACGTAACAAGCAATTATGTCAAAAATTATGGAAAAATCGTGAAACTCAGATTGGGGCCTTTCTTCAAAGCCCTTCTGGTAACGGATTACAAACTAGTCGAGTTTTTTCTAAGCAGCAATTCAATTTTAACAAAATCACTCAATTATGGATTTGCAAGGTCGTGGCTCGGAAGTGGCTTAATACTGGCCAATGGTAATACAATAACAATTTTTTTCATGATGAAAATGTGAATTTCAGGAATGCATTGGAAGCAACACCGGAAAATTCTCACACCTGCTTTTCATTTCGAAATTTTGAAAAAATATGTTGACATTTTTGAGTCAGTTGGGAAGGTTTTAATCGAGAAATTGGAAACTCTAAATGAAAAGGAAAGTGTGGATTTGGACTTTTTGGTACCACTCTGCACCCTAGATGTAATTTGTGGTACGATAATAGTTGACAACATTGAATTATTGTTGCCAACGTTGTAAATTTTATTAAAAAATGTTCGTTTTTTTGCGAGAGACCACGAAACATGACTGAACAACATTTAATGTTGCCAATTTAATTTCTTTTGGTCAGAATTTTTTCTTTTTTGTGCTAAAGGTATCCAAATATTGTGGAAATTAAACTGAAATTAAATTGACAACATTAAATAATTTAGAGTTGCCAACTTATTTTATGTAGTAATGTTTTTTTGTGTTAGAGTCCGCAATGGATGACTAATTATAACTGAAATTAAGTCGACAATTTTTCTATAGTGTTGCCAACTTAAATTCAATTTTTTTCAGTAATTTTAAATTTTGTTTTTGTGGCAGATACCGCAAAATGACTGTAATTAAATTGGCAACATTAAATAATTTAGAGTTGCCAACTTATTTTATTTGGATTTTTTTGTGTTAGAGGCCGCAATGGGTGGCCAAATATAACTGAAATTAAGTTGGCAATTTTTAGTTATTGTGTTGTCAACTTAAATTCATTTTTTTTTAAATTTCAAATTCCGTTTTTGTGCCAGAGACCGCAAAATGACTGAAATTAAATTAGCAACATTAAATAATTTAGTGTTGCCAACTTATTTTATTTAAAAATGTTTTTTTGTGTTAGAGGCCGTAGTGGGTGGCCAAATTTGACTAAAATTAAGTTGTCAATTTTTAATTGTCGTGTTGCCAACTTAAATTCAATTTTTTTTATGCTAGAGACCGCAATGGGGACGCAAATCAACGCCCAAAAGGGCGAAAATTTGGAATATGTGCACAGTGTGAAGGAAATGTGCCGAATTATAGTCGCTAGGTTTTTGTCACCTTTCAAAATTTTCAAATGGACTTATTGGATGACGAATGATTTTTACGTTGAGCGCAAAATAGTAAACATTTTGCACGCTTTTACCTCTAAAGTTATCGAAAGGAGAAAAATGGAGCGTAATGTAGGGGGAAACAGCAAGAAAATGTCGTTTTTAGATTTGCTGTTGAAATTTTCCGAAAGTGAAAAATTGTCAGATCGAGATATTTGTGAGGAAGTGGACACTTTTATGTTTGCGGTAATATTTTTTTGGTTATTTAAGTAACTGAAAATTATTTTCAGGGTCATGATACTACAGCAGCCAGTGTTTGTTTCGCACTGTATCTTTTGGCCAATAATCCGAAAGTTCAGGAGAAAGTTTTCAGTGAACAAAAAGATTTGTTTGGGGACGAAAAAAACCCTCTTGTTACATATCAAGAATTGCAAAATATGAAATACTTGGAATATGTTATCAAAGAAACACTCAGATTGTATCCTTCAGTACCGGTGATTGGAAGATACTTGAAAGAAGATACAAAATTTGGTAAAAAATAATTCGTAAAAAATCTTTATTTTTTGTTTTACTAGGAAATCGGGTGATTTCTGCGAAAACAAACGTCGCGATATTTATCTACGGTATTCATAGGAATCCGGAATATTTTCCAGATCCGGAAAAATTCAACCCGGAGAGATTTGAAAACATGAATAATTTTCCTCCGTATGCTTACATACCGTTTAGTGCCGGACCCAGAAATTGCATTGGTTTGTTATTTCCAATTTTAGTTCAAAAAAAATATATTATTTTAGGCCAAAAATTCGCCATGTTGGAAATGAAAAGTCTCATTTCTAAAGTCATCCGCCATTTTGAATTAAAACCAGCCAATCCGCACCACCAGTTGGTTTTAGCCGCTGAAACTGTCCTAAAATCGGCCAATGGAATTAAAATTGGGATTAGAGCGCGAAATTCAAATTAAAATGTGACGACAATATTGGAGTTTTATTTTTTTTAACCCCCATGAAATTTGAAGCAAAATTGCAAATTCAATTTATTTTTACTAAAGTAACTAAATTTTAGAAATTTTGTTAAAGCAATGTAATAAATCGTAAAATTACATTCAAAATTGCATTTTTTCTACAAATTTAAAGCATTTTTTACCAAAAAACTCAAAAGGTTTTACTGAAACAAAACAATAAATTGACAAATTAGGTTCAAACTATGTTATTGTCTATGAATTTAAATCTGAAGTTACCTAATTTGATAAAGCTAGATAGCTTTTCAGTGAAATACACAAAATTTAAAATTTTCAAGACAAATTGTGAAATAAGGGTAGGCAACCAATAATACACTGTCATTATTTCATTCATGTTTTTTTATTTTAACACAACCGGGGAAACTGGCTTTTTTATAAATTTATTTGACTTTTGTTACATTTTTGCGCAAAATTGTCAGTTTGACATTCACTTCAAGTATTTAATCCTATCTGATCGATCGTAAAACAAACTTACAGATAAGACTGTTTAAATTACAATTAAAAAGTTGATGGTAAAATTTTTTTTCTGCTCTCCGACTTGGAGGTTGTATTGAAATGTGAAATATCGATCGGACGCAAGGCGAATAACTAGGACAAATCCTTTGTATCATTTCCGACTCTACACCAACTCCTCGACCTGACCTCACCACCGATGGGCCCCAAATCTGTGAGTAATTTTCTTTTATTTCATTCGATAATCTATCATTTTTATCGCAATTGAGCTAAACTCCTCGATGTGCAATTACACGATTAGAGGTTATAAACACACTTCAATTCCGCAAATTTTTATTTCCGATTTATTTTATTTTATAAAGACACCTACGCTAAAAGCAAAGTTGCGGTATTTTTAGTCGTAGCTGAAATCGCAGTGATATTTTAGATGCTTGCAAATCTTATTCAAATTTTTGTTATTTCTGTAAAATGTTTTCTGTTTGAACAAAAGGTATTTACCATTTTATTTGGTACTAACACAAGCCCAATTACGGCCAATTAATTTGAATTGCTTATTTTTAATATCGGAAAATTACATTAAACCGTACAAACGCTCGATTATTTTCTCATTGATTAAAATACTGGGTTACGGTAAAGCCGGGAGAGGTGGACCAGCGGGAGAAATGGACGGCAAAATGTTAATCAAGTTTTAAGCTGCTTGAAAAACGTGTGGCTCAATACAAAATTATTTTACATTTAAAGTGAATTAAATAGTTTTTAATATAGTATAAGCTGACAATTTTAGATTTTTTAAAATGACAGTGTTTTTGGGGTAATTTTAAATAGGCATAATTTGGAAGATATTAATTACTTTTTTTGGTACAGTCAGATGTTCAACTTTTACTAAAATTTATTGTTTAAAAAAATTGTCAAAGTTGAACAAAAATAGCAAAAGCAGTTAATAAAATCTAGTTGCAAGAAAAGACATTTGTGGTTTCAATTGAAACAAAGATCATAATTTTATAGTAGGTTTTTCAAAATGTGGTCCTCTGTCCCCGACTTACCCTATATAGACGTCAAGGTTTTACATCTATTTAAGTTTCTGTGTCCTCTATTAATATTGAATTGTTATTGATTTATAAAGTCAGGAGTAAAGTGAAAATTGCAATATGTTTAGTCCCATGTCATCATTAGTTGCAAAATCTACCAATTTTTGTACAGTTAAGGAATTAAAATTTCGGACAGTATTTTTCTGTCACTTCAAAAAGTTCACTCTAAACTACCTTTTACTGTCATCATGCCTGACATTTGACAATTAAACTTTTCTGTCAGTGACGCTATTTTTTAAGTCAAAATGACAAGAGTAAAAAATGAGGTTATTAATGTAAAGCTTGTTTTAGAGTGTCCATTGTGAAAATGACAATACTGCCCGAAATTTTAATTCCGCAACTGTACATCTGTTAATTGCGACATTGCAAAAACTAAACGGAAAAAATTGATACAAGCGTCGTCTGCGTTGATTAACAGTAATAAAAAGTCTACGCAATGTCAAAAAATGGCCGACAAGTCCGCGCTCTAATGGAATCTGTATACTTTGGTTTGAAACCTTGATAAATTTTTGTGTTTTATGGGTTCTATAATAATTTTTTTGTTGATTGTAATTTTTTCTAAGAACTAGACCAATAACATAAAAATTATAACATTTTATAAGCAAATATAATTGTATTTATTAAAAAAATTAAATATTTACATTTGGGTTAAATAGTTATTTTTAATCTTTACAAAACAAGAAAATTACAATAACTCTTTATTATTTCTCCAATACTTCAAATAAAAAACACAAGGATTAATTTTATTCTCTATTAATTAGTTCTCTATTATTCTCAATTTTTTTTGCTTTGAGAAAACCCCTTGAGAATTTTTCATATATCTGTTCAAAGTTGTTTTGGATAAAGCTTTTAAAAATTAACTTCTTCTTGCAAATTCATAATCTTTTTTGGAGAAGTGTACCTCCAGGCAATACAATAACTTACTGTAACTTCAGACGATCTTGGGTTTTTTGGGGAATAATTAGAAATTTGCTCATGTAAAAACACAGTCCTTGGTTCTAAGTCTTTTGCATCTGACTCAATTTTCACTACACAATGTTGACCTTTACTGTAATTGTCAATTTTTTCCTCCATTTTTTTTTCAAGTTTATTTTCGTACAGCTTATTCAACTTATAAAAAAACTCATAGAAATCTTATATAAGCTTCCTGTAAGTTTTTTTCTAAATTTTGAATTTTATTTAGTAAGACAAATTTTTCTTCCGAAAATCTGGAAAATTTTTCAATCAAAATCATGAGTATCACCTACTTTCTAGATTTGTTGATCAAAATCAAATCGAAATGGACTTGAAATTAAATAATTTTTGTCAAATGAGTCTAGAGATTGGAGACACGTTTCTAACGGTTTACGTTCTGAATTAATGGAAGTGGTAAAGATGATCTGAAAACGAGTAATTTTTTAATAATTCAAGAGCAAGAATGGAACTGCATTTGGTAACAATTTTTTGTTTTTATAATAGCTCGTTATTTCTCCACAAATTTCGGAATTTGGGGGTATATTGCCGATGGTACCATTTGGTATTTGGTATTCTCTTAATCCATTCGTTCTTTTGATTCCAACTTTTTGGAAATCAATGTAAAGTAACATCCTCTTTCCACAGCAAGTTTGAATACTTGGCATTTTAAGAATTATAATGTAATGTCTGAAACAATGATACTATTGATACTGCGCTTCTTAAGCGGAAAAAATAGATTGGTTGTGTGACAGATTAATATTTGATTAAATATGTCAATAATTGTCACATTTAATTTCCTGTAAATTTTCAAATTTCACTAATTACAGTTTTCTTTGGAGCGTAACACGCGCATCATCTACCGGAATTTACCATGATTTTGGCCTATTGGATAGACTTGTTAATCAACACAGACGCCGATTTTTCCAACAGAAATGAATAGAGTCAAAGTGCAAAATTTAAACTCTCATAACTTCGAAATTTTTATATATAGACTTTTCCATATTCATGATATCTTACCTTACATGGCATTTTTCTCTGGGGCGCGAGTTCTGGCGCACCCTGTATATTGAAATTCGTAAAAAAACAATTAATTTGGATACTTGACTCTTCTAAGTACTACCAGGCCAATTTTCAGCTTCAAGACCGTAAACACCCTGTATAAATAAATGCAATCTTCATCTGGAAATCTAATTATTTAATTAGTGACCACAAAACGAGGCCTTTCCGGTCACATGAAACGTCGCACAACCGTGTAGTCAAAATGATTGATTTCATAATCATTTCGACTGTTGCATAAACGCTAAATTCTCGCTGAAAACGTTGGCAAGGATGTCAATGCCGCGACTTGTTTTAACTTTAGTCAACTCGCGTTTATTCTTGACTACACACACGCTATAATAATAGTTCATGGTGAGTTAACGCGAAAACAACCAATAATTGGGCTATAAAATCGTATTTTTTTCGTATTAATTTTTTTTCTTTCTTTTCTTATCATCTCCAGGCTCCCACACCGGAAATCAAAGTCCCCATCATCTGGGTGTTGGGCGGTCCCGGCTCGGGCAAAGGCACCCAATGTGAGAAAATCGTCGCAAAGTACGGTTTCACTCACTTGTCATCCGGCGATTTATTGCGGAATGAAGTAAGTACAGAGAACTACGAGTACATACTAGGAGACGAAACGAGATAAAATTGATCGATTTTTTGAACCCAAAAAAAGTAGTAGGGCAGAGTAAAAATGAGGGCGCTTAGAACGTTTTATCATCTGAGTTTCAAATCGTTTTAAATTAATTTAAATTCAACCAATCTACTAATAGCTTGGAAAAATTTCAAAAATATCGAGCTTTAAATACTTAATAAGCTGTGTAAAACCAAGGAGTAAATTTTTTACGAGAAATATGAGAAAAAAAATATTTAAAATTTAAAATCTGTGCTCCGTTTCATGTTTTTCAAAATGTTTCAAACACGGTTGAAGATACAAGAAGAATATAAGAAAGAAAGTTGTAGAGAATAAAAATTTTCTAGTAAAAAGTCCGCGAGACCATATCATTATCTTTAACCGTTTAGGTTTAAATTAATTTTCTGTCTCTTGACCACCGGTAAAAATGACACGTATTCGTTACTTGAGCGTCTTTGAACGACTTTAGGACCTAAACCATTGAAGATAAAGATATCTCTCTCGGATTTTTTTCTTGAATATTTTATTCTCTACGACTTTCTTTTTTATATTTTCTTGTACCTTTAACCGTATTCGCAGGAATTTGAAAATTATGAGACCGTGCAAATTGCTAAATATATGATTTTTTTTAACTATACTGTTCCAAAGCTCCGCATTTCTTCGATTACTCTGACAGTAAAGAAGATAACGAAATGCGTTTTTTTTTTGGATGATAGACATTAATTTTTTCTATGGTCCAAAGATATTTTCGTTATTATAGGTAATTTCTACAGAGGGTGGCGCAACAAAGTTATATTTTTTCTTATAGAACACCCGGTATATTATGCACTTATTTGAAGGAGTTTTTAATTCTAGGAATATCCATATTTGGTTTCATGGGTCTATCATGAACTGTTTATCATTTATGGGCAATTTTATGAAAAAAAGTATAATTTTTTTAAAAATCGCAACGGCTTTGCTAGAAAGAAAAAGTGAATAAAAACAATTGCAACCATTTGAGTCTGGTCCTAAATTATTCTGGTAGAAATTCAATCAATCTTTTGCAACTACTGCAGTGTGTTGACATTAGCAAAATATCAATTTTCTTGATTTTTTCAAATGAAACACCCTGTATGTTATTACTTTATCGTGTAAAGCTTTTAATAAACTTTCTAAAAAACCTAGGGTTTGGATGTCTAAACTTTATCTGTTTTATTGTACACTTTTTAATCCTACAAAATTTTAACTTATTCTATTGAAGCCTTTAATGACATCTCTGTTGAAATGCGTAGGGCAATTAAACTTTTCTTTATGGGTAGACTAGACGTCTGTCTGACGAGAAATGACAGAATTTTTGAATATTTGCTATAGAATTAATTAAATTTTGAAGTTTTTATAATTAAGGTCTTGCATTGAATTCAAATTCCAATTAGTGTTTCTTGAGTTTTACTCAGTATTTCAATACACAACCTGTTTTCTCAATTGATGTACAGAGTGGTTATAAATGATTTTCATCCAGCCAGCTTTGGAATTTTTTTGCATCTAAATTTATTTGTGCCGCTCTACTTTTTTGAAAGCTTTAGTTCTGTCATTAGCGTCACTTATTAATTAATAATAAATGGTTGTTAATTAAACTTTTATTGTTTCAAGTAATTTCCAATAATAATTGATAATGATGTATACCCATGGAAGAAAACAAGTTTATAATTGAAGTCTATTTTCGAAGTGGACGCTTAGTAAACGCCGATTTTTTAATTTCGAGTTGAAACAAGTAGGTACCCCTATTTTCGTAAAGCGGCATTTTTTATTTTACATGGAAAATTCACAGCTGGCTAGATGAAAATCATTTATAACCACTCTGTATAACGTAATTTTAAAAAATTATCCAATTTTTTTAGAAGAGGAAGTAACGCAAACCTACTTGATTTTTAACGCTAAATAGAATAGTGGCAAGGTTTAGACTTCCAAACCCTAGGTTTTTTAGAAAGCTTATTAAAAGCCCTATACGATAAACTGATAACATACAGGGTGTTTTATTTGAAAAAATCATGATACTTGATATTTTGCAAATGTCAACAACACTCTGCAGTAGTTGGAAAAGATTGATCGAATTTCAACCATAATAATTTAGAACCAGACCAGTAAAAATTGTTGCAATTGTTTTTATTCACTTTTTCTTTCTAGCAAAGCCGTTGTGATTTTTTAAAAATGTACTTTTTTTCATTAAAATTGCCCATAAATGATAAACGGTCCATGATAGATCCATAAAATCTAATATGGATGTTCTTAGAATTAAAATTTTTTTCAAATAAGCGCATAATATACCGGGTGTTCTATAAGAAAAAATATAACTTTGTTGCGCCACTCTGTATAGGAATTATCTATAATGACGAAAATATTTTTGGACCATAGAAAAAATGAATGTCTATCGTACAAAAATTTCGTTATCTTCTTTACTGTCAAAGTAATCGAAGAAATACAGAGCTCTGGGATAATTTTCGCGTTACCTTTATTTCTTTTTATTGAGAATCTAATGCTCTAACTGTCTATATTTTTTTTATTTGCGTTTTGCTCACCGTTATGTAAATACAGCCATTTTTTGTTTCATTACTCTTAACTCTTTCAGGTACGCACGTATTTAAAATATCATACAGCTATTTACTGGATTTAAAAAATAATCATTTTTCAAGTTGTTTTAAAAAATAGATAAATAGCACTAACGACAGTTTTTCATCGGTCTATGAGCAATTATTTTAGATTTCAGATTTTTTTACTTTCTCCGGTAATCTCATTAACTTCATGAACCCCTCATATAATCTCGTAGGGGAAGGCGGGGACCTTAACGTTTGAAGTCGAATAAAAAACTAAATATACATCACAGAAGTTCGAAACTCTATTTATCAACTTAATCAGTCTTCTCTCTGTTAGACTATAATAAAAAAATATAACAAAAATTATTATTTTTTTTAAATAACGATAAAAAGAAACAAAAATACTTTTACCCCATCTTGACCCACCCTTGGGGTAAAATGGGGTCCCCCATTGGGCAAGATGGGGTACTACAGTTTTAAAGACTTGCGTCTTCATCGTCGTCATCGACGCCAGCGCATCCGCAATGTGCCCATTTCCCACATAGCTAACATGTGATCCATCCTTCTTTGCTGTAGCAATTATCTTGGATCTCGATTTGGGTACAATAAATAATCCAGTTTCATCACAATTATAAATTTTATCTGGAGTAAATTTATATTCATCCAGAGCTTTTCCTAACAGTTCAAAAAACTTTCCCACCGACACTCTATTAAATCCCGCAAGTCCAGTAGCAGAAGTATTTTCTGGTTGAGGCTTAAGAAATCCCTTAACCTAACCTTTACCAGCTTTTGCCTTGACTTCACTGAACTTATGTTGCTTATTATTGGCAACTGTCAATTGATATGCCCCATACCTCATTTTGCCCCAACGAGACCTTGTACGTAAAAAAAAATTCATTTTATAAATGGACAAGTAATCGTGTAAATAACTGGTCTAAAATCAAGTTTAAAGTACAGGGATTGCCATGAAAAGATGTTGAACCTATGTATTTCTGACAGTCACGTTCGAAACACAATAGAAAAATAACATCAAATAATTAAAAAATCATTTTTTACTCACAGCCACGTTATGTGTTATGCTCAGGTTCTCGCTTTTGCCGCAGTGAAAAGTTTTGAGATATTTCTACAAAATGACGTTAACAGTTTTATCAAAACTGTTTTTGTTTTTGAGATATAGTGGGTCCCCGTCTTACCTCGCTACCCCTTCTTACCCCTCCTTCCCCTACATTTTTGAAAATTTCAAAGCATTCTTAATATGAAGTAGTCATTGTCTATTACTTAGTGACATAATAGGCATTTAAAAAAATAAAATAGTATTATAATGAACAAAGAAAAATAACAACAAATAATAAAAACAAAAGCAAACTAAATAATACATACGATAGCTAACAAAAGTTATTATTTTTTGTAATAATATGCTTGAAAGCAGTTTTTCTGTTTGCCTTAACAAAGAGACACTCTACAAGATACACACTGAGACTACATAATGCAAGTATCAACGAAATAGAAAAAAATTCAGTGCCACCATTTATGACATTTTCAATTGAGTACAGTGACGGACAGTGAATTTTGTCCAACCAATTTCCATGACAAACTAAAAGTGTAAATTAGTCTTTAGGTTTTTCTAACCTTGTTTGAGAACTTTGATGAACATTTATCATGTTGACAAAATGCCCGATATTCCTTACATTCTTGTTACCTGTGCTTTGTCTTACATTGCTTGAGGTATAGTACCTACTAATCCATTTTTTCATTGAAAATTTGGTCCAAAATGAATAAGAATTTAATTAAACTTGACAGTGTCAGTTATCATGACAATAAATCACAGACTACAGTGAATTTTTGTGAATTCACAGAAATTGGCTGGACGAAATGCACTGTCCATCACTGTACGTCATCAACTGATCAAATTTATCAACAAAGTTCATGTTATTGTTGTAATTTTCCACAACATCAGGACATACCACTCGTATTACAAAAAACTAAGAATAATACGAAATACAGTTAGTAAAAATGCAAAATTTTATCAATGTAATGTTAAGCGAAAGTGGTGACGTCACGAAGCCTACTAGTCGAAATAGGAAAGTATTTGCCTGATAAAAATTCTAATCCCAATGAAAGAAATTTGTTTTGTTTTGTTTTTTTCCTCTTTGTATTTATAATAATCATTATCCATTATGTGTATATTCCCAAAAAACAATTCAATTTTTTTAAGTTAAATTAAGTATCATAAAAATGTAGGTACCTATTTCAAACTAATTAATAAATTGTATAGTTTTCATAATAATTTTAAGTTCATTGATTGTAAATAAAAAAATGTGGTAAACTCTACAAGAATAATGTCTGTATTATTAAAAATATTACCATTAATGAGCAAAACTGCTCAGAAATATAAATTAAGGTGAGTTAAAAAGGTGGGTTAAATTTTAACCCACCGTCCCTGAAAGAGTTTTAAAACTTAAACGGGAAAGGAACTGCGCTATCTGGCCTCACTAACGGAACTATCCTAGTCTTTAGGTATCCGTAGAAGCGAATATTTCAGGCCTGAAATTGGTGCCAATGAAATTTCAGGTGTCTAGTGGGTCGCCGCGAGGCAAAGAACTGACGGCGATTATGGAGCGTGGCGAGCTGGTGCCGATGGAAATCGTCCTTGATTTGCTGAAAGAGGCGATTTTGGCGTGTTTGCCCAACTCGAAAGGGTTCCTCATTGATGGGTATCCACGGGAGAAGGCACAGGGGATTATGTTTGAGGAGAAAATCGCACCGGTTAACATCGTCCTGTTTTTTGACGCATCGGAGAAAACGCTGGTGGATAGACTGCTTGGAAGAGCGAAAACTTCAGGAAGAGTGGACGATAATGAAGAGACGATCAAGAAGAGGTTGCACACTTTTAACACGCATAATGATCAAGTCGTGCAACAGTATGTGGCCAAATTGAAGAAAGTAAAGGAATCCAGAAAGGGTGATTCGGTTTTTGATGATTTTTTTTTTTGGTTTTAGATCAACGCTGAGCGAAGCGCGGACGATATTTTCATGGAAGTACAAACCTATCTCGACCCTTTGGTCAAATAGAAATCATCTGTTGAATCTGTTACTTGTTTGTTCACAATAAAGATTGTTTAAAAGTGATTTTTTTTTCTATTTTACGTCTTGCCACAATACCGCATAAAATTGCTTATTATTTTCTATAAAATTAAATGTGGAAGGCTGAAAGGCCGAGGATTTTTGCTTAATTTTGCTTTATTTTTAATATACATTTCTTTTCTGAGAAACTAAATGCGAGAAATTTATGTTAAGATAAAGCAAAAAATTTCTAAACAATGTCTAAACGCAAAACAATCAAAAAATTAGGTCAGAAATTCTTGCATTTTTTTATGAATTTCAAAAGTTTTTTACCAAATAAAAAATCTTAAGATCGTTTTTTTAAGCAACAATTTCACTTGATTTGACCGATTTTAAGAAAACAAAAAATTCAAAATTTGTTTTGATAGATTCAATTAGAAAAATTATTAAATTAAATTTAAAAAAAATTAAGTAAAAAATGCACTATAAAATTAAGTCCAAAATGCACTATTTTTGCTGATTTTATTACTTTAAGGCAATTTTCAGCGAGAAATTTATAAAATTTGAGAGGTTTCGCCAACGCAAAGCAGAAATTTTGCCAAATTTGGATAGATTTAGTGCTTTTCATTAAAAAACTAAATTTAAAGGTTTTCTTACAATAATGTAATCAATTTTTGACGAAAAAACTGGAAAGATTTTACTGAAACTAGGCAGAAAATTCTTAAATTAGGTCTACAATATGTCATTCTTAATAAAATTAAATCAAAAATGCATTATGTTTGATTTTCTAAGAATTTCTAACGTTTCTCACGGAATAAAAACATTTTAGAGTGTTTTTTAAGCGAGAATTTCACTAGATTTGAAAAATTTTGAAAAAAAAAAAAATTGCAATCTAAAATGTTTTTATTGATTTAAAGCATTTTCTATTAAGAGATATATTAAATTCAAAAATTTTAAAAAACTAAGCAAAACAATGGCAAAATAAAGTCTAATAATAGTGTTATTGTTTTTGCTAATTTCATTAAATTTAAAGCGTTTTTCATTGAGATAATTATGTTACCTTCGTTAAAAAAATTTCCATGTTAGAAATGAAAAGTCTCATTTCTAAAGTCATTTTTAATTAAAACCAGCCAATCCGCGGTATGAGTTGATTTTAGCCGCTGAAACTGTCCTAAAATCGGCCAATGGAATTAAAATTGGGATTACAGCTCAAAATTCAAATTAAAATGTGACAATATTGCTGTTTTTTATTTTATTTAACCCCCATGAACGTTACGCCACTGGTAAGGCAAAGTTTATTACAAAATTTAAAGCAAAAAATTGCTTTAATTCATTTTCGCAAGTTTAGAGAAACTCACTAAATAAAAACATTTTTGAATAAAAAAGCAAAAAATCCGACAATAACCTCAAAATGCATTATTTTTGTTTATTTCATGCGATTATTTTGAGCTTTTGTCACAAAGAAACTCACTAAATTTAAAAAATTTTACTAAAGCAAAGCAACACTCACCAAATTAGGTCGGAAGTGTGGTATTTTTGCTTTTTTAAAAATGTTCAAAGTTTTTCACAAAATAAAAAATACCGTAAATTGCTATCAGAGCGTTTTTTAAAAACTCTATAAAATCCTACGATTTTGAAAAACCATGGAAAAATATTGCAAAATCAAATCTAGGATGCGTTATTTTCGCATGTTTTGAGAGATTTAAAGCAAAATTAGGTCTGCATATGTTATATTTTCTATAAAATGAAGTCTACAATGCGTTACTCCTGGTAATTCTGTTACATTTAGATCGTTTTTCAGCGAGAAACTTACAAAATTCGAGAGATTTCGCAGATATTTTGCCAAACATGCAAAAATTTAAAAGATTTTGCTATAACCATGTAGTTAGTAAATTGCAAAATTACATCTAGAACTGCATTATTTTTTGTTTTTTTCGACAAAAAAGCATTTTGGAGCAAGAAACTCGAAAGATTCCACTAAAACAAAACAGAAAATTTCTAAATTAGTTCTAAAATATGTTCCCTCAATTTCCTGAATTTCCGGTGGAGGAAATAAAAAATCTTCACTCATTTCCAAACTACACACAACAGGGCCGTAACCAGGATTTTATTTCGGGGGGGGTTTCTTGTTGGTCCATGAAAATGAAATTAAAGAAGACGGATTAAAAAGCAAAAATCTCTTAGTACACGTTTTTATTTTAAATTGAAATAAGAGATCCTAATTAAACATAAAAAAAATACAAATTAACTCACAAAAGTAACAAAAAATAAAATAATTTTTTAATACTTTTTATTGTTACAAATTTAAACAGGAGATGAATATTCATTTTTAAAACAAAAATTTTCTATGAACATATATCGAAAAATGCTACGCAAGGGGTGCGTCTTTTAATAGGTTTTTTTTTCAATATTTCCGAAATCATTTTAGAAAAAAAAAATCAAAATGTGCTACAGATGATAACTTTTATACACCTAAATAAGTACAAAAATAAAATGTTGAAATTTTTAATTAGGTGCTTCCTAAACTAGATGGGATTAAGGTAAAAATTTACTCTAACTATTTTGCCTGTGGTTTCTTGCCACTTTCAGCAACAAAATTTCATAGTTTTTCATAAAAGAAGGTCTTTTGTGTTTTTCCGATACAATTTACGGATTTTTAGTAAAAATCGGTTCAAAAATTTATGTTACAGACCATAAACAGCATAAAAATTAAAAATTAAATTTGTTTTACCGTTTAGGACGCCCCTGATTAAAATTTTTGTGATTTGGCATTTGTTTGGGTGTACATATAAAGGTACCAAATTTTGTAATTTTATCTATTCTGAAATATTAGGAAAAACCCTTTAAAAAACGTACCT